GGCAATCATTTACAAAGAATAACATCTTTATATAATCTAGTTCATGTTGATGTATTATGATGTCAATGTCAATGTAGACATTCATTTATAATAGAAATTTAAATTAATCTGGGACGAACTCCTCATGGGGCGAAATGACTGAAGATCCTGTGGTTAATGGTTATGCAATCAATCTTATGTAGGTAACTTTATTCTTTTTTAAAAAAAAAATTATAACCCATAATATTATTTTAATGAGCATCATTTTTTTGATTTATTGATTGAGACAACAAAAAGGTTCCTTAATAAATATTTAATTCACTTTAGAACATGTTTTGGACATGATTTGCATACAATTTACAGTATGAGTTACCATCAGCTAACCTCCTTGTGGTGGAGTGGTATGTACAACTTTTTTCAAAGTGTCTTCTATGCTGAGGACTTAGATTCAAATCCTGGTTGCAGCCTATATTTGTATGTTGAGTATAATTATTTGTACCCAAGTTATGATATGGCTGTTTATGTATATGTGTTTGAGTCATGTAAGACACAAATATACTCATCTTTGTATCATCATAATAGATTTCTATCCGATAACCTGGTATCCCAAAATACAAACTTTACAGTGCATAATATGGGGCTATGCTTATTGGTGCTAATGTAAAAAAATAAATATTTAATCTGTCAAGCTCAAGCAAACCAATAATGGAGAATAATTTCTATGACTAGAGAGCAAAAGAGTGCAATAGGACAAAAAAACGGCACTATGGTGATCTAAGGGTCAAGAGCGACATATTAGTGTGGAGATCTTTGAGGAGACCTATGCTCAGCACTGGGAGTCAAGAAGCAGCAAGAATTAATAAAATTATGAAACCATAGAAAATAGTTGTGATTTTGATAAACATAACATAATTTTATTGTTTTCCATTCAATGTACACAATAAAAATACCTATGTAAAGCTTGACTTCAAACTTTAAATAAATAGTAAATTTTAATAAAAAGAAGAGTGATAACCATATAAAAAAGAGTAATGAGAGAGACAATTGGCATGCTGGTATCACAAACAAGAAGTGTTTTAAAGTGTCAACAAAAAAACTGTTTCTTATTTTCTTAGGCATACTTTAACTGTTACGATAAGGGGTCTTGTGGAAACTATTGAAAGACCAATGAATGAATGAGCTTTATTTTCAATAGGATCATTAATTAAGCTGCATTGATTTGTATATTTTAACAAAACTTGTCATTTAATAAATGTATTTGTATTTTATTTTATCTACAACTGTAATAGTAAATTAAAGCCTATGCCTTTTTTAAAATAAACTGAAATATCCTTCTTACTTAATTTGCATAAGTTATTGTTATTTAGACATGGTAATTTTTTTGAAAGTAATAATGATGTTTTTCAAAATTATATTATTTGGTACTAGTCTGTTAAGAAAGTAGGTACCTACCTTCTCTTGATAGTGAATGCAAAACATAACCTTTTTGACATGTTCTGGACCATTCTTTATCACACTTGAAAGAGTTGTGATAGCAAAAATAATAGTTATTAAAAATCTTAGTGCTTCTAATTTCATAAACTGCCAATCTTGATGTAAAGGACACAAACACCCACCTCAAATAAATTTTATGATCTTGACGTCCCAAAAGCATCAATTTCAATAGTTATTAAACAATGTTTTCATAGCAAGTAGACTAAAAAAAATCTTGCATTTGCAAAACACTTATTGCAAATGGTTTAGATCTAGTTTAAAAATCTTTATATGGCAAGTCATTATTTGATAAAAAGCGGCATTGATGTAAAATTCAATGAGGGTAGGACTTCTAAAAAGTTAATCAGACAAAAACATCTTACTGGATGCATGAGATCCACGTTAGACAGCCGTCGACGAGCCAGCATGTCTCACACAGCGTTAAAATCGCAAACAAAACACTTATTTTTATATTTCACAAAACCACACCACGCCTAATTTCTTGTTTAATTTGGCACTATCTCCGTGTAAACACTGGACATATAAAACAATAAAGGGATATCAATCCCTTTGTCAACACTGCACTAAATTATTTTTTTAACAAAATGTACACAAATAACACCTCCGCACCTAACTACTTGCGAAACCGATCTGTCAATCTACGTCGAATTATTCAGTTAAACAGATATCAAAACATACACGATGCGCGGAATTATTAAAAACTAATCACTAGTAACTTCCTTACATGTGAATTCAAATAATTGGGAAAATATCACATCTTTACCGTCAAATTATTTGCAAATCGAAAGGTAAATCTCGCTGGTTGCGATTTGTCAGTAAGCGAATCTGGTAAAAACTGGCCGTATGAAGTGTCAAACTACAAAGAGATGTCAAATGTCATTTAAACCACAGACTAAAAAAATGACATTTACAGTGATACCAAGTTACAAATTAAATAATGTACTAAACCTAGAGATGGGAATTTTCAGAAAAGGTTAGACATAAAACATTGGCGGATCATGGCCGTACAACCTTTGTGTCGTGACAAAACACGGCACAATTCTCTCTAGATTACTTAGCGACAAAGATTCCAACTATAGACAAACTGGTGCAGTAGAAGTTTTCGCACTACCGCGCAGGCTACGCTGTCGATAAGTTTTGTTCAGAATTAGTATACTGCAGCATTTTGTTTTATTTGCTCTCCAGTCTAGGCCTAAAATAAAAAAAAAACAGTAGAAATAATAATTAAAATGTCAAAAAAAACATAAGTAAAAAGTCAAAAACGACACGTTAGATTAAATAGTACCTCAGTGTTCTGTAGATATGTTTCCAATTAGCAACCAATTTTTTAAATTTGCTTCAGACTAACAGTTCGATTTTTGGCTTAGCCATAATAATTTAAATATTATTACATATTCATAAAAAGTGTTTGTAAACGATAAGGAATTTGCAGTTAAAGATGTGCTTTGCATGTTCTTCACAGTATACTTGACTTTTTGGTGTTGTTGTGTTCCTGTCGGTAAGTAAGCATCAAGGACTGCACGTGGTAGGGTGCTGGGTCAGGCTAGGCAACTTCACGATTGGAATTGGGTTGGGTAAAAATTACCATATATGCTTGTTTGGCACCCTTAAGAAAAACATAGACAATATTTAAAAAAAAAATGGTTGCCTGTAAAGTCGGTTTTACGGGCGAAGATTTTACGTGACAACGTCTTTTTCTCGGTAGAATATTTATTGATATGAATATAATTAAATTGCACAATAGGAACAAGGAATTGAATGAAAATAAGAATTGCACAAATTTTAACTATAGAAATATATTTTGTTTACTAAAACATTGTACATGTAAACTTAAACTTAACACGAGAGACTCATCGTAACGTTACCGAGCGTTACACTTTTTCATAAGTGACTCCCAGCCGCAACCTAATTTAAGACGTTGTCACGTCAAAAACACCGGCTGAATTGAGCCTTTTTGAAGACATTACAAAAATTGACCACATGGCTCTCTCCAAATGGTCTTTTGTCTTAATCATCCATATATTTTATCTTTGATAAAATAACGAGGAAGGAGGTAAACCAACGATATTAAATACCCTAGATACACCACGTGCGCTCAAAATGGGTCCCAATCAAGAAGTGCTTGAACTCCACTCAAGCACTTCTTGATTCACAGTCACGCGCGGACCGTTGAAAAGAGAACTTGCCGCCGAGCTCCGTGAAAACATGCGAAAAAAATACTTAAAATATGTAAAGTGTAATTTTTTCCAAAGGTATTTAATCAATGTTTGTTAATTTAACTCATTTAAAGCAAATTTTGTTCTAATATTTACTATAAACTGATTTAATATAAAATGTTTGTGATATTCAAATGCATGGTCGGTTATATAGCCGTCTCTTTTCCTCGCGGTCCGTACCTGCTATATTGCTAACAGCGCATTCAGAATTGCGCGTAGAACTAAAGTAATAAGGTCTATATTGTTCCGCATATAGCAATAAATTGTAAAATTTTACGCGCTTGCTCTTCGAACTGTCATTACTCTTTGACGCATGTGTTTTAATTAAGACCTTATACAGTACCCATTAAAGGTGACTTTCAATGTTTGAATAATGCCGTGGGTCGTCCAATGTACCTTTTGGACAGGTCTTGGGCACAATTTTGTTCGTGTTGGTATATTTAGGGTATTTAATATCGTTGAGGTAAACAGTAAAAAAGCATTTCATATGTAGGAACTAATAGGTATTAAAACAGGCTGAAGCGGATTTTTTTGTAGTAGCTGGCAACCTTTTCCGATAGTGGCGCCATCATTCATTCTAAAGCTACAGATAAGTTGGTGGCACTATAGATGGCTCTGTATAGTTGCATAATATTTTGGAAATACGTCAATAGATGGCGCAACTGTTGGTAACTAAAGATTGATATTTTTATATTATTTTACAAAAGGAAGGCAAATGAAACTCAAGTCCATCCAGCTCTTTTCAATAAGTTTAAAATGCGTTTTGATGTTTAAGGGGTGTTTATTGTAACACTAAAATATCTGTCCGCTGTCTTAATAAGCTTTTTCTCTAGACGTTTGTAATACAAAAGGTTAGATATAGGTGATTTTCTATAAGGAACCAACCGTCTCTCAGTAAAAACTAATACCATTAGGTGGTATAGTTTCTGTCGTAAGGCGCGAGTGATACTGAATGGCAAGCGTCCATCTATAGGTTATCAATGTTATCATATTACCGTACTTTGGCGACTGCTAACCCTCAGGCGGGCCATAAAGCTTGCAGGCGATACATCAATATCCACCTTTTTATATATCCATCATCATATTTCCTTTGGTCACGTCACGCCATAACTTAAGAGTTGAGAACGACTACCTATAATATAGCGATTTTATTCTGTAGTTTCAGAAGGAAGATTTAGAATACTAATTTACAACATAACCTGATAGGTGGCGCTGCAGTCAGGTTTAAATTATTTTTTATTTCATCAATCGGGGTATTGTCTGTCCGGTCGCTAGAATATAATAAAAAATGTTGTGTAGTTTTATGAATCCAGAAAGCAAGTGAAACTTGCTTGCTTAATGATTTATAAAAAAAAGTCGTTGTTGCCGATGCTTGTTGATAAGCTCTGTTTTTTTAATAACAAATTATGAATGTAATGCTACATGTTTAAGATAAACGAAAAAAATTGGGGGAGTTCACTTTATACTTTAAAGGGTATTATGATAAATGAAAGTAGCTACGACAACCAGCATGGACCAAGTATCAGCATCCAGTATCTAGCGTAGCGGAATCCTATATCCATGCCATCGCACCCAGACAGTCTTATCCTAAACCGCACAAAAAAATCATAGCAAAATTCCGTGAATTTGAATTCCGCCTTATTTAAATAAGATTATAATGAAAATAAAATAATTATGCAAAAGCTGCCAGACTCGGCTCTTGATTTGTAGCTAAAATATATTTTTCGCCGCCCATCTTATTACCAGACATAACAAAAGTTGCTTAATTTCTGTGATCGATGACCGTACGTGTTAATCTCTATAAATTGCATAATAGCAATCATATAATATCGCTCGCTAGCAACTATACCAAAAAAAGTTTATGGTTTTAGTTTAGAAAGTCGAAAAAAACAGTGGTTGTTATTTTTGTTGGATTTGTATTAGAAGTTTGTGAGAAATTGCATTATTCTGTAGATATTAGTACAGTTAATAGTTCTCCAGACCAAAATTTCGCTTTTAAAGTTGTCTATGATTCCCTAAGGATCCATAAGTCATCAATTGTATGACTTTGTATACTATTAGACATAAGACCTATTTACTGTACTTACAACAATCAAAAGGCTAAAATCACTAATTTAAAATACCGTATCATCTCAAAGTAAAAATACTAAACACTAACAATTTTCCGGAAAATAATATACAACTTCAGATTACTTCTAGAGTCGCGTATTATATATTTCCATTTATTTAATTTTTCTAACTAACAGTACAATATTTTCATACATGAATAATTAAATTGCGATTCCTAATTAATAAAATCATACACACGCTTCGTTCAACGTTGACTTTAGAGTAGATTTCGGTTCAGGAACCACACTATTCATAATTTACAACACTACCTACTTACATATAAACTTATATTATTGAGAGATTACAGTTTAAAACCCGAACTGTACACAAGATAATAAATAACTAAACAGACAATTCTATCACATCCAGCGTCACTCATTCATTGCCACAATGTATGACATTGTAGTCAACAAATTATTATTATTAATCAATATTTAAGTTAATCAGTCTTACAATTTATTCAGGAGTAAAATACTTCCAGGTAAACTGAAAGGGCCAAGACGAGAGCGGACATCAACCGCTCTTACGGCAAAGTAATATTTAAATCCGGCCATCACATGCGTCAATGTACACGCCATTGGTAAGGGTAAGGCTTTTACATCACCAATTTTTTTCCATAAAGCTGTACTAGGCGGTGAAGACGTTTCTTGGTAAGCATATAACTGATAACTGGCTATTTCTTCGTAGCTATCTTCTTGATAACCCTCAATTTTCCACGAGATAACGATTCCGTTTTCTACTTTGGACAGTTTTAGGTCTGGCGCTGGAGGCAGTGCCTTCCAATTTGGCGGTTGGTACTGTTTTACGGCATCAGGTAAAGGCGCAGGATGTCTATTTTGTATTCTGGACTGCATGCGCACTGTTTGAACAGTCTGAGGCATTCTCGTCACATGTGGCGGCGCAGCCCTTGGTCTTGGCCCCGGTCCTGAAAATTAGCAAACAATATTATGAAACAATTCTTCTATGTATACAAAAGTTAAAATACAATAATCAACATCATTTTAAGCAGCTTACCTGTAGCTTGTACAGTTTTTAACATTATTGCTTGACCAGGTCTGATATTTTGACTCTGTGGACCACTGATAGGAATGTACACCTTTCTAGGACTATTCAATGTTTGTCCAAAAGGCGGTCTAGGTGCTAAAAGATTTTGGGAAGCTACTAATCTGATCGGCGGGGCAGGAGAACTTCGCGGGACTATCTTGGCTGGAGGTTCGTCGTCCGTCAAATCGACCGTAATAGACTGTACACGGCTGATTGGCCTTTTTTCTGCAATCTTTTGAACAGGCGGTGAATTTCTCACTCCATTTGGAACAGGACTAGGTGTTTTTGCTTGTGAGCTAGTTTGCAAGCTTGGTCCTGCAGGAGCGGGCATTTTAGCTACAGGGTTGTTTGCTGGTATTAGTCTAGGAACAGGTATCGTTTGGTTAACAGTTGGTGTTGCCGGCTTTTGAGATTTTGGACTTTGATTCGGGGTGCGTACATTTCTAGCGTTGTTGTTAGTAGTGGGGGTAGTATTCACTAACTTTTTCCTCATTCCAGCTTTCTCTGTCATAAGTACTTGCATACCAACGGATCTAGTAATCTTAAGTGGTGTAATCGCTGAACCAGCATTTTTCTTTTGCTCTTCCTGTACAGATTTTAAAACTACTTGGAGGTCTCTATTCTGTTTGGTTAACATCATGGATTTCTTTTTATATTCCTCGATGCTTTGAGCCATTTCTTTGAGTTTTGATTTTATATCACTCAAATTACTCCTGTCTACAATGCTTTCTACAATTTTTAAAATACAAAATTCTTCTAAGTCATCTCTCGTCATATCAGCTAAACTCTTTTTATGACTTTTTAAGAAATTTTCTGGCAACAGAGGTTTCTCAATCACGGGCTTCTCAGTGACCTTCTCTTTTAACTTATCTTCCTCCTTTGATTCTACATTTGTCTTTAATATATCCTTTTCAGATAATATGATATCTGTAAAAAACAGATACAGAAAATAAAATTACTAAAAAATTCTAAGCTTAAGATAAATGGATAGAATAAGATAAATAATTCAATTAAACTTAATAAAATGGAAAAATATAAGTTCTCCATAACTTATTTAGCCAGGTTAATAAGTACTCAAAAAAATAATAGTTCAACATTTGCATCACAACGGAATTATTTTGATCAGAAGTACTACTATTAATTCGTCGGAAGTTGTTCTTATAAATTTTCTTTTGTGAAAAAGTATTCAATTCCTTTGGGAACGAGAGAAACAAAACTTACCTTTTTGTACTTCCGCAGTTTCACTATCCACCAGTTTGTTACTTTCAATATTTTCTGTACTATTTTCTAAATTAACTGTGCCGTCTTCCTTTTTTTCCTCTGGTAATTTATCTATAGTCTGCGGAGTGGGTTCCTCAGGTTTGTCTTTACGACTAATGTCTTCATCAATTAACATTATATCGTCATCATCTTCAATGTTAATTGTTTGTTTTTCTGTAGATTTTACTGTTTCATTTTCTTTACTAAGGGAATCATCCTCATCATCAGACAAAATATCCAAGGTGTTAACTAATTTCGAAAAAGGTTTCTTCTTTTGAACTTCCACATTTGATTGAGCAGCAACGACTTCTTTATTTGATTGATCAGAATCTGCACCAACAATTTCGACCTCTTTCGTGTCCTTTGCATCGGTTAATGAGTTATTTTCCACAACTTCTTTACATATTGAAGGCACAGTTTCTAAAACACCGTCTTTGTCAATTACGGTTGTATTTACGTCTTTTTCATCAAATTTTGATGACTCAGTCTCCAATATTATCGCTTCATCATTTGATTTTTTCTCTAAGAATGGCACCTGATCAATTGAAACAGTATTTTCTAAAATTTTATTTTCATCTGTTGTTTTGTCTATTAATACCTCGTTATCAGCTGACGATAAATCCTTCCTTATTTCCTCATTTGTCTGATTATCTAACTCTAAATTTTTCGCAAGCGTCTCTGCTATTGTTTTTTCGTCAACTGATAAAGAATCCTCCAAAATAGCTTTATCTACAATCATTGTATTCTCTAAAACCATGTTGTTGGTCGATGGGAATTTTTCCAAGATTACTTCGCTATTAATTAAAGGCGTGTTTTTAACGTCTACTACTTGGTCTGTTTTCAATATACTTTGATTATCAGTTGCAACCCCATCATCACAATTCGATGGCTTCTCATCGATCTTTTCACTGTCAATAACGTTCGAAATGTTTAACATAGGCACATCAACATCCATTTCACTACTAGATGAAACACTTTTATTTAATTCTGCCTCTTCAGTAACATCATCACAAACCTCGACAGCATCTCCGATTAAGCTGATCGATTTAGGTATTTCAAATGAAGTTTCTGTACAATTATCATTGCTTTTCACATTACACAGTTCAATGTTTTCAGTTTCATTATCTACTTCCATAGAAGTTTCACCCATTATCTCGGGTACAATTTCTAGGCCTTCTGATTGCTTAATAATGTGTTCTTTTTTTTCTTCAACTACACAGCTCGAAATTTCTTTTAAATTATCAATGTTAATATCTGCTTCAACATTCAGCGTATTGCTTATTTCTTTCAAATTGGACTCTAAGAGTCCATTATCCTGTTTAACGGTATCATTATCCTTACCTGCTATAAGGTCGTTATCTAGAGTTTGAACCTTGTTTTCTATGTTTATGTCTAACTGCTGTTCATTTTCTTTATCTGCTGCATTTCCATTGGTTGTTGCCTTTATGCAGTTTTCTTTTATGCCATTTACCAGTTGATTATCATCATTTTCTACTCCCGTATCTTTTATTGGAAGTGATGAATTTACTTCTTCATCATCTTTTTCTATGCCATTCGTCTCCTCTTCAGAATTTCTTATTACATTCTCTTGACACTGAATATTTTCCTTGTTACCGTTATTAATAACGGTTTTCAAAGTTTCTATATCATCACTTACAGACTTTTCTGACGGTTCTTCTAAGGTCGCCATTTTTTCTTTTATATTTATGGAAGCTTCAGTGTCCAATATTAATTGCATTGTTTATCATATCCTATATCATTGCCCAGGAGATGGAGATAACTCTGAAATAGAAGAGAAAAAGAATTAAATTTTTAAGAATAGTAAAAATAAAATAGGTATTGTGATTTCAGTATAAAATATCATCCTGATATCCGTATTTATGGTGGTTTTTATTTCATATAATCTTTGCCTAAAAGATTAAGAATGAAAACAAAAAACAATCAGTTACATTGCTCCAGCTCCAGCTATTCTAAGTGTTGTTCTGTTATAAATGTGGCATTTACTTTTTTTTAATTTAGTGTTGATATTAGTTTATAGATATGTATAATAAAATAACGATGCTTTAAAGACCACCAGCTACCTCCGCGTCTGGACTTTACCACAGCTTAATATCAGGTGGGGTAGAGTCATGTGCTATTGAAAAAAACATCTTTTTTCAGGTAAATGCGTGATTTATTGCTTTTTTTCCATATTTACACAAACAGTATTCTCATCATCGAGCCTGTAAAGTGTAAAAGTGTTTATATCCTATAAACACTTTTAGACAAACGAGGCCTCCGCAAGGAGATATTTAATGATTTGCAATGCAAGGAGACAATAATTTATGTAAGCAAACGTCAAACATGAAAAGTAAAAAAAATGTTTTATTGAATGATCGTGTGGCGGGGGTCAAAATATAAACAATAAATAATACCTTAATTTTTTTTTTGCAATTTGAGAGAAAGACAAGTTTATATTTTTCCGGTTCTCACTTGTACTATTTAGTATTCTGTGGCTTCTCTGATAAATTTCCATAGACTTCTAAAATATATATATATATACATGTTAACTTCTTTTAATATATTAAATGGATTTAATGTTGGTTATCTTATTTATCATAACGATTTAAGATATTAAAGCCATATTCAAATAATTTACAACGCACTTAATTATTTTTTGTTACTAGCTCTTTGCTTTTTCCTGAAGCAAGTGTAAACGTCACTTGTCATCTTACGACAACGTCGTTGTCAACCAAATGACATTTTCAATTTCTGTGGACGCGTCGTAGGCCGTAACATGGAGCAAGTAATCACTCTGTTTCCCTAATGAACCTTTTAAAATTTGAGGGTTCCGTTTTTACCCTTTGGGTACGGAACCCTTTAAATGGTAACTTACTATTGTAGCGGCACGCTATGATGGCCGTTTTGATGTTGTACGCCCATGACCTTTCATATAATAGTTCCTTCTAAATTTGAAAGATTCAGATTGAAACGTTCTTCATTGTCATTCATTAGTGACGCGCTGTTAGTAAAATTTATCGAATCGGTGATTTTAGCGCATAGAATTAAAATTTTACAAAGCTAATGATTTAACTAGGTTATATATGTGTATAATACGGTTACAGAAATCTTTTTTTGACGTTTATAACAATTACATATTATTATAATATAAATTTTAACATAAAAACACATTTGAGAAAATCTAAACATAGGTATATATTTTGTTTTATTCAATCTTTTTAATCATCTACTACTTTGTTTATATCAGTTTTTTTCGACGTTTTAAAGATTTTCACGTCGCTATTGTAATGTTTCGAAACGTTGCCGCCGCGGCGTCATCGTCAGTCGGACGTCATCTTCAGCCACGTTTTTTGGTAGGGTTGACATAAGGATAAATTTAAATAAACAAAATGTTTCAAATATATTTTGATTAAGTAGTTATGGATCTTATAATAGATTTGTGTCCCTCGGTTAAGTAAGTACCTACTATTATTTAGAGTATTTGTTTTTGAAGTTAAACTGGCGAATGTGTTACGATTTCGCGTTACGATTAGTGTCATCGATGACTCATCGGTGAGCAATGAACAATACCCGACGCCATTGAAATCCGCCGTATGTTATTATTATAGCACGCATGCCGTGCTAGTATGGTTGTTGAGGTTCTATACCTCATCTTAAAAATAATAAGTGGCAGATGTCACATTAACAAAAAAAAGGAAAATGGTCTCTCACATAGATGAATGATTGGTCTCGCTTCACTCCACTAGATACCGCGCTATCAAAAATCAGCAGCTCCGTTTAAGCGGCAACTCATTATTGTAGTGTGTGTATGTCACTTTGCAAGGACGGTGTCGTATGTCAAAAAAAGTGTAGCCAGCTGCTCAACTGCTATCCCAGTAATAGGGAAAATATTTTATGCTGTTGTCGATCCACACTAACAATACCACTTACAAAATCCGTACATAATATATGTATATATATCATTTTTAGTTTTTTTTTGCAAATATACGTGATGCACGGAGGCGCGAATCCTATATTTTATCGCGCTTGCATTATAGTTAGTTTCTTTATTTTTATCCCACCTGTCAATAATTTGGTTACAAATTCTTATAAGTGCCTCCGTGCTCCGAGTGGTATGTACGCCCGGGAGCTAGGCTAAGTTTAGAGAATCATGCCGGAATCGACACCAGTGTTGAGTAAATTTATAATTATTATTAAAGTAAGTAGTAGTTAAGAATAAAGTTTATTATCAAAAATTAAAAATTACATGCCACTAACTTGCACAAGTTTTAAAATTTCCTGATTTTTGCAAATTTTCTTTCTTCGAAATGTAATGGAGTCGTATTTGTATAAACTTCTCCACTAATAGTCGAATTAAATTGATTTGATGTATGGCACCATTAACATGACTTGAGTCGAAATCAAAATATCTTTTAGAACCCGCCCCGATGAATTTTTTCATGACATCAATTACAATTTTTTTATATATTAAATTTGATTTTATGTGCGAAATTTTATCTATATTTTGTATTATGGATTCTGAAATCAAGCATAAAATACATCTTCAGCGGCATATGATAATCCACCTGTATCTTATAACATCACAAATTTATGAAACCAACAATGATTTTTAGCAGTTAAATTATCAATACAATGAAAGCATTTAAATTTTTTTGTTATGACCTTAACAACAAAACCGGATACGTATCTAACAACGTGGTTTTTAAAATTCGACATGTATGGCACATCCAAGAATTCTGTGATCTCATCAAAATCATCCTTAACTTTTTCTAGCGCATTCAATAATACTGAATCTTCTTCTTCGAAACGTTCCCACATGAAAATGAAATTTATTGGAATTTTCTAGAAAAACTAAATAATTTGCAAGATAAAGAAGGCCTCCATTTAGCTAATAAAATAACGAAACGTCATTTAGAATTTCGCAATAATATAATGAAGGTAAAGTTTGCTTCAAATTATTAAGTTTCCTTTATAATTACACGCACCATAAGCTATCCCCGAGGCCCAAGCACGAGTTTTTGACAGCTGCTTAACGCTTACGTATCGCATCGTCAAAGTTTCTATGAAAAAAACTAAGCAGCGCCACTGACACCATGTATAAACTAGCTTTTTCCATACAAAATTTGACCTTAACGATACTTTACGAAGCTGTCAAAAACTCGTACTTGGGCCTCTGTGCTCAATTTCATTCAATTAATTTCAACAATTTTTCCAAAATTGTGATGTTTTCTTAATGTTTTTCGATTTATTTTCAAATATTTTCGATTCACTGACACGAATAGTTTGTATTTCATAAGAGGTCAAATGAAATGGGTCATTTAACAGTATATTCATATTATAAAAATCTCAACCATAGGGACTTTTATATTGCGTACTTGGCAACACTAAATGACGTTTATTTTTCATGAAATTTTACATCGAAATTTCGAAATTATAAGATACTTACTGATGGTATGTGATCCCAGTGTCCTTTTTATTTTTTGAACTATTATTTTTACAATGTTTCACAACACAAACTGACATTTTGCTGCGGATTGTGCTCTAAATTGATTAAAATATGCGGGACTAACACCTAAAGCGCAGCTGTCAATGTGACTGACACGGCGAAGGCTCGGGTCTGCCGATTTCGGCATAGTATTTGTTGCCGCATTAAACAAGTACGCCGGCGGTATCTGGTCGAGTGAAGCGAGACCAATCATTTATCTATGGTCTCTCATATTTTTATTCGTAATTTGTAATTTTTCACTAAAATATATTCCGTCTTTTAAAAAATAGTGTTTTCCTTAAATTGAATATTTTGAAAATACTACCGCTCCTTCGAACCTATATAATTAATTGTTTACAATAACATCTGGCGACCGTGGGATAAAATATGGAGCGGGCGAAAACCGAGAGATCTGTGGCAAGAAGACGATTCACAATTTGTGCTAATAAGCTAGAAAACATCGTAAGTACTGTAAAAAACAAAGATGATATTGCCGTAGAATTTAAAAAACTGACTAATATATATAATGACCTAACAGTAGCACAAAATAAAGTAATGACTATGTGGCTGGATGATTCTGAAAGGAATGATGAGCTTTTTGAAAGAGATACAGACGAGGCTGACGAGTACATTAACGTTTGGTATACTCTCGAACAAAAAGTCAGTAAATATTTGGAATCCAAAAGTACTTCGACATCAAGTCATTCTTGCACAATTAAAGAAAACCAAGATGAAGTAAATCGTCATTATCGCTTACCAAAACTTGAATTACCTAAATTTAACGGAGACATTAATCGATGGTTGATATTTTGGACGCAGTTCAAAAAAATTGATACTGATGAAAAAATAGACAACGACGACAAATTCCAATACTTAATACAATGCATGGAAGAAGGATCCACAGCGAGAGAATTTATTGAGAGCTTTCCACCTTCCGGGAGTAACTATGCAAAGGCTGTGAAGCAATTAAAACAAAGATTCGCCCAAGATGAGTTCCTCATTGAACACTATGTGCGAGAGTTATTGCTTCTGGTACTTGCTCAAGCCAAGGGCGTAAACAAAACTTCCATTCGATCGCTGTACGACAAGATAATCACACAAGTTTTAGCACTTGAAAGCATGAACGTGACTCAAGATAAGTATGCTTCCTTTAGCTATCCACTGGTTGAGTCATCATTGCCAGAGGATCTTCTAAGAGCGTGGCATAGATCGAATTTTCAACGCGGGAAGGATTCAAATCCTCTGTCAAGACTATTAGATTTCGTAAAACAAGAGGTAGTAGAGTCGGAAGAAAGAA